TCGTACTTCACGCTGTCTCGAATGCGGGTGTTGCGAGAGCCACTGTTGTTGACGTGGTTGCCGATGCGTAATCAGAGAGTCGTTCTGTTGTTGAATAGAACCAGTAACTAGTTGTTCACGCACGGCCAGATTGGAACCGTCTATATTATACCCCGGCGTTTGTTGTTCGTTTGTCAATTGCAGACCACCGAAGGTGAACACACTAGTAGATAATTGGTCTTGTCGAGACTGTGGTCGCAAATCTTGATAATATACATATTTTGAGCCATCCCAGTAGTATGCTCGATCAGTTGTAGATGCGGCAGGATTAAGCGTGTAATGGTGCTGCTGTTGTTGCTGCTGCTGTTGCGCCGATTTTTTGTGTTGTTGATAATTCCATGGTTGGCTCTGCCAGGCTTGAAAAGGTTGTTGCGACATTCTGTAGGTTAGCTACAAGAGACTGTTACATTAAGTCGTACATACCTATATACATGAGCCAATAATCGAGGGTTTACAGATCATGATATACTGTTAAGGTTATACAAACGTTAACTTACTCTGAATACACCATGAACGCTTATAGAGAGCATCGTATATAGAATTGGGGTCAGGCATTTGGAGAAAATTCAATAGTGCGTGTATTAGGAGATTTGTCCGTACTCAGTTTATATATTTCAAACTCTGCTATATTAAATTCAAGGAAGGCAAAGGAGCGCTTTCATTGTCCTCCAGAAACTTATTCTTATAAAGCTCGATAATAAGACACAATGGATATCAAACAATTTTATTTCAGTTTCGAACATGATTGTATTCTATTCATCTATCCGTTATCTTCTCAATTCTAAAAATTAACTATCAACTGGTCTCTCATAACTTTACTTTTCCGTTATCATATAAGTACTATAATCGACCACTCACATTCTAAACGTGTCTCGGAATACTTTATTTGGCAAGGGTTTTTTATTATTGTTAGTCAAAAGGAATATATAGCAAGCAAGCGAACGGATTGTTTAATAAAATACGGGAAACTTGTGTGGCTAGTTGTAGATATCAAAAACTTTGTGATTGGTTTTATTATTCAATACACGGCACGGTAAATACTTTACCGACCGACAACCATTTATATCTGTGGGAGATCAATTTATAAAGATTTGAGGTTTAGCTTTCACGTATTCGCTCACTAACGGCGTTTGCGCTTCCTTGTTTTTTGGGGGTTCTATCTAATTTACTTGTTATATTACAGATTAGCGCTAATGCTGAATTCTTATCATTAATATATTCTTGTTTTATTATCGCCTAATTTAAATTAGGCGGAATAATTATCACACTAGTCACACACAGGAAAATTTCTTTATTATCGTTTAGACGTAAGATATTTGTTAAACCTCAATTAACAAATTAAATAGATTATTTCGGTATATGTTATAGGGGCACGCTTAAGGAGTAATTGTTCAATTAATGCTATCGATAGAGATGTTTCTCGATCTAAAATTGGTCATATGTTTAGCATGGAGATCGAAAAGTTTCTATTTATGTGTCAACGCTTTATTACCACTGTCTTCTTTGTATATGTACTGTACAGTACCCTACTTCCACGATAAAAATGTTACGCCAATTGATAAATTAGAAAATATTATTCTGCTATTCCTGTGCTGATAAACAACAGTCACAGCAAATTAATCAAGGCCCCGTAATTTTGCATTACTATACATCTTATTTATAACTTTTGTCATTATTTCTAATGATGCCTGATTTAGAGATTGTTCCCATATTGTATTTATTCGTACTTAAAATTGACTATTAGGACAAAAGTTTACATTACCATGCAAAGCTTGTAAAATATTTTTATTACTTGTCTATTTATACTAATATAATGTGACAATTTGGCACCAAAAATAAAAAAAAAAAGCTATCAGTTTACTTGTAGACTTTCTCGAATGTCGCAATGTTTTCGAGTAAAGACATAAGTTCACTAACTATAAGGTAGTACTTGTATTATTAACTAAAACTGATTTCTATTTGCGTTAAACAACCAAAGTATTCTGGAACAATATGACGCAAATTATGTTAATAAAAAGTCTGACTCTGGAATTTTTGTTATATACTAACTTCTACAAGTTCAATTCGACTGTTAAGCATTAAAAATCAATTATAAACTTGGTGATGTTGTTTCCTAAGTTATAATGAGTATTCGTTGACTTTTGCTTATGTGCTTTAACATGGGAGCTATGGTATCTAATTTTTGTGTATCAAATGGCATACAGGCAATATTATTGCACTGTCTAAGCAAGGGTTATCTATTCAATCCTCAAACTCTCCTGCTGGCCTCAAGTTTTTACATTTATGAGTGCCAAGTTCGGAAATTTCTTATTTCGATCTATATGCTTAATGATAGTTTTTATGTAATAGTAAGGCAATGTTGGCATAGAACCGATATTATACACGTGGAATATATAGTATGTCGGACTAAAGTGAGGAAATTATTCATGTAAAAATTTACGTTTGATCACTTTTGCAAAGCAATTTGTATGCATCAATATCTGTATAATGCAATATTGAAGATCTGCATAAATTAGTACTATTCGGATGCTAAGTGACATACAGTATATTGCTTAGCGGTGTCGGACTATGGGAGAGCAGCGGTGCACTAGCCGTTTTGGGATTTAGTTCTTTTCCGGCGGAAGCCTTTGATTCAACTAAATATCTAGACAATTAGTGACCTTTGATTATAGGATTAATACTCACAATCTATAATATTGATCTTGTATACGCCGTTTCTGGGATTTTCTGCGATTTCTTTGATGGGATTAGTTTCAAAGCCTATCGAAACGGGGAATTATACTATCTAACGTGTTAAACAATAACCCTGAATGCAAAAGTACTAAATAGAATTAATCGGTAAGAAATCAATTCTATTTACCGTCGGCGGGAAAAGCGATTTACACTTCACCAACGATACTAAGAAGGGAATAATCGAAATAATAAAGTTTATATTTGATTCGGATTTTTATTAGAATAAAGAGAACTATCCTAATAGCAACGTCTTGCTGAAGATATGATCTGAATAATAGATAATTTTTAGCTATCAGTTACGACTCGTATTTATAACTAATCTACGTTTTACTACTGTCAAGAAAACTGGATTGATGGGGAAGTTTGTGTTTGTCAAGAATATTGTATTTATGCGGAAGTTTCAAGAATTTTGGATATATGCGGATAGTCTGTCAATGCCAGATTTCGTAAGAATGTTGGAGGAGGACTGTAAATAAAAGTTAGGAGGATAATAACAACGATTATTAGTTTAGATTCATTAAGTTATGCAACTGCGACCAAAATAAAGTGCGATCATATATTACCAAGTCCTTGTGGATGATATTAAGCTTATGTATGTGTCCCAAACCGTTAGTAATTTCGAGACTGAGTTTATACTTGTCTTCCCACGTTAAACTACGAAAATGTCGCATCAAGTGATTACGCAAAGTTCCGCCATCAGCAAACTCGAAAATCATATGATAGCCGTTATCTTCGACTTTAGATTGAAAAATACATCGTCATGTTACAATGATAGCAATGACATACTTACAGACACCTAATAATCGAATAATGTTTGGATGACCGCTCACTTTCCTGTGGTTTTTCAGCTGATGGTATGTAAATCATTAGTTATAAATTGGCAACAATAAAACGTACGCCCTAATATATTGAACAAAAATCAACGACCAACCTCTTTGACAAGTTTTTTGTAAAATTTTTCCTCACAACCATGGACATTCCGATACAAAGTTTTTATGGCGACAGTCAAATTATTGTGTTTCATTGTTGCCTCAAATACTGCTCCATAGGCACCACCAGCAATAGGTAAACTACGCACTTTTGGATAACAGCGAATAGAACCCTCTCCCTCTTGAATACTGTTCACAATCCATTTCTTATTATAAACATTATTAGGCTCTTCCCGCTGATGACTGATTACTTGAAATTGCAAAGATCGCTCATCAGTTTCCATCTGGGAAGGTTTATCTGGAACCCCGTTTCCTAATTGATTAAAGTTGTTTTGGGATTGAGGAAGTTGGTGAATGTTTGCTTGCAACTGAGAGATATTTGTACTACCCGTTGGTGGATAGACCTATAATGTCATAATAGTATGCGAATGCGTGAGCTTGGTACAGCTATTACTATCTCACAGTAAACCGAATATACGAACCTGTGGACTCTGATTGCTCGATCGGTAAAACTCCAAGAATGTCTTGAACCGAGTTTTGTCGGTCCAATTGGTGTTCAGATTGCATCGGCGTAAATAATTCGTTTGGTGTTCGTACTTCACGTTGTCTCGAATACGGGTGTTGCGAGAGCCACTGTTGTTGACGTGGTTGCCGATGCGTAAACAGAGTAGATAGAGAGTCGTTCTGTTGTTGAATAGAACCAGTAACTAGTTGTTCACGCACGGCCAGATTGGAACCGTCTATATTATACCCCGGCGTTTGTTGTTCGTTGTCAATTGCAGACCACCGAAGGTAAACACATTAGTAGGTAATTGATCTTGTCGAGACTGTGGTCGCAAATCTTGATAATACACACATTTTGAGCCATCCCAGTAGTATGCTCGATCAGTTGTAGATGCGGCAGGATTAAGCGCGTGATGTTGCTGCTGTTGCGCCGATTCTTTGTGTTGTTGATAATTCCATGGTTGGCTCTGCCAGGCTTGAAAAGGTTGTTGTAGGTTAACTGCAAGAGACTGTTACATTAAGTCGTACATACCTATATACTGTACATGAGCCAATAATCGAGGGTTTACAGATCATATGTACTGTTAAGGTTATACAAACGTTGACTTACTCCGAATACAGTCAGACCTCCTTACAGTCACCAAGTCTGTTGCACCTCAAAGTGGTGATTGTATAGAGCTGTGACTGTAATTATAAAACCTCTATACAATCACCACCATAATTAAAATAATGTGCAGTGATTATATAGAGGATTTT